CATTGGCATGCCCAGCTAGAAATTTATATTTGTGGACCCCGCACGTTCCGCAAGAGCTTGCTAACTCCAACTCCGTAACCATTAAGCCCAGTTAACGCCGGCACCCACTAACTCGTATTATTCATTTATCGTATAGTAATCAATAATACGTCCAGAAGAAACAGGTAAGCTCGAATAGTGCATCCCTAGAACCACCGAGTTCAATTATAATAGCTAAGCAATACAAAATCCCCTAAGGACAGCCACCTACACCCCAATGGATGCCAATAATGACCAAACACCAGGTTTGCGCTTAGAAACCGAGTTTAACGACAAAAAAAACATTTCACATACGGAAACTTATTTTATTTTCAGAATTAACACTGTTAATAGAAAGAACTGCATTCATAAAAGTGGTTCCTGAAATAAAAAAACTAATGAAACATTCAGACTTCCAAGGGAAGCATTATACCATCACAGGTTTACCTCAGCGGAAACCGCGAATGGAAATAGAGATTTCATCACTTACCTTAGCCACAACCACGTCTATCAGACACGCGCAAAGCCTAGCGTTTCCCTGTGAATACAGAAAAACACATTAAAGATCAGACTTCCAAGGGAAGCATTAAACCATCACAGGGCTGCCTCAGCGGAAACCGCGAATGGAAAAATAAGTTTCATCATTCCTACCTTCCGTAAGGCAGTCAATATCATACATGGAAAGCCAGTTGAAGTACAAATTTCCAAACCGTTAGAAGTCTACAAAAGAAAAGCATACAGAGTTCAGACTTCCAAGGGAAGCATTAAACCATCACAGTGTTACCTCAGCGGAAACCGCGAATGGAAATACAAGTTTCATCATTCTTACCTGAGTCACAGCACTGATCGGCATGCTCGAACACTGAGTTTAGTAGGAAAAGACTTCCGAGAGAAATGTAAAGCATCATCGAGACTCAACCGGAATTCGAGAAATATCAAAAATTTAGTGCACCATGCCCTACAGCACCAGAAGAGACACGAGGCAGAAAACGCATGGCAAACGAACACAATGACTCAACTAGTGAAATATTTAAACAAATTGACATTAGAAATTTTCATTCACGCATAATTTTTAAAATAATGATAGCTGACAATCATTTTATAATAAAAAACGCTACGAAAAATTATAAGAGCCTTTGCCAATTACTACACAAATTTACGGTTTCATATTTAATGTCTTAATTATGAATAAAATCAAAATAAATTAAAAAACTTTAGAAATCTCAAATTCCTTTCAAATTAAATTCTTAGTATCTTGCCTGAATAGTAATTTTAGTACTGAAATAAATATTTTGCCGACCAAAACAAATGGAAATTTTGGGAAAGCCTATCCATAAAAGCTGGCGATTTCCAATGAAAGATATTCCTGTAGATGCCAGAGTGATTCGACTATTCACAATGTTGAAATATCTCAAGATATTTTAGAAAAAAGGCAGATTTACGGATTTACTGGAAATTCCAAGCACTTCATATATTCTTCATCATAATATCAGTATAAATTTGACTAGGATTTAGAATTCATTTGATTATTATTTATTATTTCTCCTTCTAAGAATAAATAAAATTACTTTAAGTTGTAGTTCTGCTTATGTACTAACATTTGTACTTATTTCGATTCAAAACAATTCATATAAATGAATAAATATGATGATTAGAACGCCATCATATGATTCAAATTCACATTTTTATTGAAATTAATATCAATTTTCATAAATCTCATCTTTCAATTCTTTTGCTGTCGTTTCAATTAAGACCTACGATATTAATTCTGACGATAAGAGAAAGCAATGGTAATATTTAGATGGCTTAACACTTTCGGTAGTATTTCCTTGTTTATAGTAGTATTCAGCAGGCATTGATTAATGCCTCGTTAATTATTAAAACCCGAAATTTAATGGATTAATCATCAAATGGATAATAAAAAGAAGAATTTTGTTTTCATGTTCTATTCAAACAATCCGAAATTAAGCAAAATGTATACGAAAGTTATAATTTAAACGTAAACTATCACTTGCAAATTCCATTATTCCCTATTTAATTCAAGCTAATTCACTCTGAAGCGAACAAAACTATTCATTTTATTTAAAAGTGAGATGTCTGTTAGCACATACTAATTACTCTTACAGTATGCACAAATGTCTATGGAATTTCTTGAAATTAATACCCGAATCATGTCTGAATAACAACGACTGCCTTACAAGGAAAATTCTTACGTTCATTTTTTCACTTTGTTTTTCATCACATTATTAATACATTCATGCACAGACTGTGTGAAACCCCGTGAATGCTGTTTTTGACATTTATTCTCTGGTAGGTAGACAACATAAATGCAAACTCTTAGACTCACTGCTTGATAATTTACGTAATAAACAAATCCACCCTACGCAGACCTACTGAACCTCTAAAGTGAGAAATCAGACACTCAAAATTAATTTACTCTAATCTGATAATAATCTGCGGTTCATGTGTAGGTACACACCACCTAGGTAATCTAGGTAGATCTGAATTTTTCAAAACTCCAAGATAAGAGAAAAAATTGTGCTCGGTAAAAATTAACAGTAGGGAAATTTATTAAATATATCTTCGCAATATAGGAATGAATTAAAAGGGTAGAAGGTTGAGCGATATAAAAATTTTATTATTTTGTAGGGAAGATTGTATTTCTTCATAATGGAATAAAACATCCTGGCTTCGATAATATTTATTTATCATTAGCCCTTTAGTTGATTTCAGGCTTCACATAGGGGAAGGAACATCAAAGCGAAAATAGCCGAGAGGGGGGTGGGACAGAAGGTTGTTTTAAAGATGTAAAAGAGACAGACACAAAGGTAGAAAAAAGGTGAGGTGAGTATTGTGGAAGTAATCAAATATGACATACAGTGTGGTTATGGTATTTTGACGTACCTCATTAAGGATATTGGGTGGCCATTCAAGACTTGACATAATAAGGAGGTTCAAATTAAAGCGACATGCCTTGAATGTTAAAACAGAAGGTTATTGGCCCCTATTTTTAATTCGAGTTCTAAAAAGGGGATTCTATCCTTTAGCCTCTATAAGATGCGTTTTGTTGCTATTTCCCAAATTTCAAGTTACTATATTGTTCACCAGTAAATTTCCCTCCCTTCAGAAATAAAATAACTTTTAAAACGAAAATTAACTCTCTAACGCCCACTCAATTAAAGAATTATATACATAGTTCTTCAAGCCGTGTTGAGATTATCAATGTCAAAATACCAACGCAATGTTTAACAAATCGATATATAGCTCGATCTCCTATGTTGGTCTAAAATACTAATTAAATGCATATCTCAGCCTATATTTACTATTTTTTCGTTTCCAAACTCCACCCTAAAAAACTACCCATGTACATAGCCATCAATAACCTACCCGAAGTCATTTCGTCATGTACAGCTAACACAGGCAGATTACATAATAGCTTTAATTTGAATTTAGACTTGAATTTTGGGCTTCTGGACCAGAAGCAGTGGAAAATTCTCGAAAAATCGATTGAAACCAATAGGAGCTGAGATTGATTCTCGATGAATTCAGCCGGCCTAAGATTGAAAAAATCATTTGTACATAATTGAATGGACTTATTTTTATAAGAGCAATGAATTCTAACGAAGTCAAGAATGTCATTTGCTGCAGTCAAACCGAAATGGGAACAATATTTCATTTCAAAACATCGTAGAATTGTAGCAGAGATAGGGACTAGATTGTTCGAAGATTATTAGACCGCTTGTCCAAGTAAATGTGTAGTTACTGAATATTTACCAAGACAGTACATGTAAATAATAGGTCACTATATTCAACTTTCCAAATCTCTAGCTTACCCTAGCTCGAAGCTAAGTCACAAGGTACTTTCTTTTCAACCACCTGTAAAAAAATGATAAAAGTAGCATATAAAAATATAGAAAAAGTAGAGAAACTCTGTGAATCGAGCTTAGCTACCTCAATACCATTGGGGTTGTACAAACTGAAAGTTTTTGGTGCACATGGACGCATTATTTTACAGACATGAACAATTTCCACTAACTTATTGATTATTAAGTTTCAATACTCAGGCTTGAATTGAAATGGTGCGATAATGGGTGACTATTATCACAAAATACCGATCATTTCCGCATATATCGCGACTTATTTAAAAAAATTAACCATTATAACAAAAATGGTCATCATTTCCGGCATATATCACTTACCACTATCACTTACCGATCTGAGAATATATGTACGTCTATCTCGAAATATACCATCGATTATCTACGATAACCAATTAGCATACATGGGTTATTAGCGATTAGGCTTAGATGCGGAAGTTTAGACAACGCGATGCAAAAGTAATAATACATTAAAGATGTGCACCTTGTGGTAAGCATGTGGTGGAATAAAGATTGCCAGTACCTTACAATGAACGCACTCCTGATGACCCGAATGCAATTAGCATTGATTAATTCATAATATTTACAATTATAAACGACCTTAATTGATACACAGAGAAAATATATTTCAACACTAAGATTAAAAAAACCAATAAAGACTTATATTTACAATAAGTTCAGCCTTATGAAAAGGGAACAGAGTGATTTCTTAAATGTGTCTCGTTTTGATCTTATAACATATTACTTAGAGTGTGATAAAGAAGGAACTAGAGAGAGAAATAATAAGCAATACACTGATTTCATCCGTACGTAACAGCACAAGAAGATATTTAAGTAAAAAATGGCGTCAAAAATAAACTTATTAGTCAGATAAGGAAAGATCAACCCACTAAAAGAATAGTGAAAACGGACCAGATATTAGGTATAACAAAAGGCCGGGCATATTATTTGGTATTTATTGGACACCAATTATTTAGCATTAAGCATTAACGCCAAAAACAGACGTATGAAAAAGGAATGGAATTAATCACATCATAAAAATTGCAAAAACAAAGTAGTTATTGTAAGGCAAATATCACAGTTCAGAGACAATGCACGTATTTTTCAGTGAATAGCTTTCACAGGTTTCGATGTCTTTTTGAGTTGATTTAAAATTGTTTCTTCGGGTAGAGTGGTAGAAACTGTCACAGTATTAGTTGACACATCAGTAATTACAGAAGAAACGTCACATCCCAGTTGTTCTAAAACCCTTTTAGCGGCATTAGCACATCCCTCACAGGCCATTTCTAGTTCGAACTTAAAGGTCTAAAATAACTGTTATTTTAAACCTTACAACAAACATTTATTTAAAAAACAATGCAGCTCACTTGGGATGCCATGACCTTCAATTCTTAGGAAAACTGAAATCAGCGGCTAATAACTAAGTTGAGGTACTTTGTGCTCTTGAATAAGGTCTAATAGTTTATTATAAGGCAGATATAGAATTGTAATTTCCTAAAATATATTTACTTATAAATTAAAGTATATAAATATACATTTAATTCTGATGACACAACATGTTAAATTTATTAACTCTTACAAATAGCCTTTGCAATATCGCAGACTTATTCACTTACTCCTGTCCGGAGCATTCCTTTTTGTTTTTTCAATAAAATCTATTAATTAAGTAGCTTTAAAACAATGGAGCCTATTTTTCTCGTAATTTAACGAGTATCATTAATTGGTTTACTAATATGCTTAACATGGGGCCTATGACGCCGTAACAAACTTCTTAACATGTATTAAGTACTTGATAATGGGCCTTAACAGTTTTATGATAAGTTCCCCACGCCTGGAGTCAATTTAGCCATCCTGCCACTAAATTAAATTTTTATTATCGAAACTAAATATAGCATGATCGATATCAAATATGTATTTGCTTCGAAAAATAATTTAAGCACATCACATAGCGAAAATATTGATTCAACTACAAAGGCGATTGAGTGCAGTTTGAAGCCCTTGGATATGCGGAAAAAATACCGCACTATGTAGAAGAAGAGGCTTCACGACTTCGAAGGCAGCCTGCTCAATAACAACAGCATCGTTAGCATAATTGATAAGTTCCCTTGTCAGCATCTATAAAAATATAAGAATAAAACAAAATGATTGACGTAGCAAATCGTATTCATTATTTATCACGGACCTGCGATCAAAAGTGTCCGCATTAAATTAAAGGAACTTAGTTAATTCCGTCTGATATAAGAAGGCAGTAGAGGAGAAAACAATCGTATAAAATGTGAAAAAAAGCATAATTACTTCACGGATGAAGTAAGAATTTAGGTGTTCTTAAACAGGTGAAAATTTACCTCAGATGTGGGACAGGGTCGACAGAATACAGCGGCTGATTTAAGGCAATTGATTCCAATCTCCATGGCTTTGACTTTCGCCTTACGTTTCTTAACACTCTCAAGACCAGCATAGAGACGAAGTGCAGTAGCTAACAGAGTCCAAAGAGCATCCTTGTTTGGTCTCAAAAAGACCCAAGTCTTCACCATGGCTAATACCCGCTTTGCTTGCTCCAATGTCAGAGATAAGGCCAACTAAACGCAAGGAAATGGTAATGATCTTAGGCCAAGAAACCATTTCGAAATTTACAAGCGCATTCAATATATCGCTTTCGTAACGAATGAGACGACTGTTATCTTCCAGTAATCACATTTCTTTCAACAGTTCGTTCATGGCTCAAAAGTTGAGGTACTGGAGCAATGAGATGAGAGTCTGCTGTAGTTGTAGATTGCAGGCATTAGTTAGTACCATACTGAACACAACATCGAATTCATCATTATTCACAATTGCTAACTAAGACCCATTAATTTGGCACGCATACAAAATTGTAATTTAACAAACGAGTGACCGTTGTTCGAGTTGGTGGGTGTCATAAAATATCAAATAAAAACTGGATGCGATAAAACATGAACAATCTTGTGCTTCCGATGTACCATATTTATAAGATAGTGAAGAAGCGAGAGTATGATCGAACATCAAATTGAAAGAACAGCTAGAGCCTAGGTAGAATAGAGCCCTTGAGATCCACCCGCCTACTCTTACTGCTATTGCAGTACTCTCTTAAAAGTGCAACAATTTCATCATTACATATGTTCAGATTCTTTTGACGATTTGGTCTTCCATTGGCAACAGCAATTGATTTGGACGCTATGGTTCACTTATTTCTTAGTGAGGGAACCCAGTTCCCCCCCCCCCCCTGTATAATACCTCTTTAACCTACTGGCTACAACAATCTTGGGTATTCTTCAACAATCTCTTTGAGCAGAAGAGTAGCGACCTGGATCTCCATGGACGAGAAAACCAGATACTGCTACTTAAAATTCCCGATCAATTTAGCCAATAACAGCTAGATATACCGTTTAAATTACTGTTATTGCATTTGTGGCCGAAGTAGATGCTGAAATCTACGATGCTCCATAAGATTACACTCAGACGATGTTGCTCTCATAATGAAGAGCAATGGCTTACCAGACTCTAAACTCATTTCTTTTCTAGCAATAAATCCAGAAAAGAGCGAGACATACCTCAATGTTTAGCCACTCATAACCGATAGTAGGGTTATCGAGAAAGGCATCCAAGCCCTCCTGCAGTGAAATCGCAGGCGATGAAGCGAATTTTTCGAATAGAACCTTTTCTAGAACAGCGCATCGAAGAGGATTAGAATTTGGGTTGAAGCTCAATTCACTGGTCAATTGTGCAAACTCCAATGACCTGGAAGGCTTAATAGAAGCGTTTCCTACAAAAGCCGCAGTCAGAACTTCCAAATAGCTTAAAGAGGTTGATTTCAAGTCGTATGCTGAGTAGGCAGATTGAAGGGCTATCGAAAGTGAAGGAGAGAATGGCGTGTAAGCAGAGACAAAGTAAACACACACACACACACACACACACAACCCAAATCTTACTTAACTTGCAAACTTACGGATACTTCATTCAAATTAAAATAAACCATCGTTGATTTAATTAGCACAACGAATTTAGACCACCAGAAATAATTAATTATCCCGTTGGTCCGAGTTGATCCATACCACCAATCAATATTGAACGCTCATATAGATTCCATTCAAGTTATTACTAAATTTCTAACGCCTTAATTCCTATCTGTGCATGATACATCATTGGCATTGTGAAATATATGGATATATATATATATATATATATATATAT